GGTTATCACATAATTATGTTGCAGAGATGCTACAAAGCCTAAACAATGGGGACTTCTGATTAGTGAGGTAGTTTTATTACTGAAGGTCCCCTTCCTTTCAGAGCAGGTGTGGGCACAGCAACCTCAGTGTGACTGCGCTTTTATTACCGTAAAATCTCTGCTCAGTCTTAGCAGACTGAGCATAAGGACAGAAGTGCTTTTATCATCATATGCCTGTCTGTAAGAGAGACGCCTGGACTCAATGAGCTTTCCTATTCTTTGATCACACAGAGCTGTCATGGGCGCCTATAAAATCATGAAAACTCGTGCCTGAAGACATATGCTAGTATAATTGGAAGCACATGGCTTAGAGTAAGAATCCAGTTAGTGACTGAGGCAGGATAGCTGCATCATGGTTAAGAGAGTGAACTTGAGCTGAACTGGGTTAGAATCCTAGCTGCTTCGTTTATTGGCTATTGTGACCCTAGATAATTCATGCCCTTTGCCTGTTTGTTCATTTGAAAGATGGGGATGAAAATAAATGTGCCTTCCTCGTAGGGTCATTGAAAGGAGCAAATGAGTTGACTTTGAAAACCTGACACATAAAAATGCTTTTATTAAGACTGGAAAGTCTGACACCTAAAATAAGATAATGGAATATTACATAAGACTTGATGTTTTTAATATTTTTAGGATGCTAAAGAGCAGGTGAGCCCTTTGGGAACAACATTGGAAAAGTTCCAGCAGGAAAAAGAAGAATTAATCAACAAAAAAAATACAAGCAACAAAATAGCACAGGATAAAGTAAGATTTCGTTTATATACTTACCAATATCTATATTAAACATGCTGATAGCACCATGTTGGACACTATTATTTCACATGAAATTAAATAGCATAAGATAAGTAGTATTTTCAGATTCATGGTATAATTTTGACATTAGAAATTTTTGTAAGAATAAGGATTTTTTTAAAGATTAAGGATTTAACTTATTTTGCTTCTTGATCTAAAAATAGAAGTTAAGAATTGATACTATTTAATCCATTCCCATAGGTGATAAAGGGACTTGTCTGAGATCATAAAATTTGGCAGTGGTGGAAACTGGCACCCAAGGTTCATAACTTCCAAGCCAATGTTTTATTATGCTCTTCTGTTAAGTGCCCTGGTCCTAACCAATGTAAATTTAATATTTTTCTACAGCTGAACGATATTAAAGAGAAGGTTAAAAACATTCATGGTTATGTGAAAGACATTGAGAATTATATTCAAGATGGGAAAGACGACTATAAGCAGGTAATTTAAAACTTAAAATTATGTATTTGGTTATATTTTTGTTTCATGTGCTTAAAGAATTTTCTTTTTTGTAGCAAAAAGAAACTGAACTTAATAAAGTAATAGCTCAGCTAAGTGAATGCGAGAAACACAAAGAAAAAATAAATAAAGAAATGGGAATCATGAGACAAGATATTGATACACAGAAGGTAGGTCTTTTTTGCTTATGGTATTACTTATACCTGTAACATTCTTTTCTATATGTAGTTTTCTTTTCAGTAGAAGATCCATTAAATAGAAATGTAAACAGTAGACAAAAAGCAATTTCAATAACACATTCTTTATTTTTCATTTTTATTTTCAATAAAAGACTCATGATAAAATTTTAAACATAAAGGCATAAAATTAAAAGTGTTCCCTCCCCTTCTCCTAATTTCCAGTCTCACTCCTAAATGTCTTTACTGTTACAGTTTGTTTGTTCTTAAAGTTTTTTATTTATATGCCATCAGATAGATTGATTGATGATTGATTTAAGTGAGTGCGTGTGTGTATTTAAATTTACTTTTACAGATGGCATCGTACCAAATATATTTTTCTGTACCTTTTTTTACTTAATGTAATTCAGTCTTACATAGCAACTCACAGATATCTCACATTCTTTTTAATGATTATAAAATAGTCCATTTTGTGTATGTGCCATAACGTAGGTTATTTGTTTTTCCTTGTTGCAAACTGTGTGGCGGTGAATATCCTTCTATATGTTTCTGTATCTTTTCTTACATCTTTATATAGGATAAATTCACAAAAGAGGGATTGAGGTCTAATTCTTAAAAGTTATCTATAAGGAAAGTATTTACATGTTAAATGATTTTCCAGTTGATTTTTATATCATTTATTTTCTCTATCAAAGAACTTCCTTTCCACAGCATAATTCAAATCACATTGAGAAGTTATCCCCAACATGCCTTATACAAGCATGGTAGTTAACACCTTTAAAAAACTATACCATTTTTCTGTTCTGTTCTTGCTGTTTTAAACAAAATTTGCTATCTGAATGCTTTTATCACTTAGTTATAAATAGTGGTTTGAAGATTAGCTAGATCACTTTCTGCTGGGTTTCTGTCCATAGCACCAGGAATTTCAAATATATAAAATATTAGTCAAAGGTAAATCAAATATTTGCCTGACTTAATAAATGCTGAATAACTGTATAAATTTATGATGCATATATAACAAAATACTTATCACTAGCTTATATGTGGTCTGCCCATAAAGTCACAATCTACAAATCAATAACAGCTCTCTACATACATATACAAAGATTGTTAAGATTTACCAATCTCTGACCCCTTTCAAGGTGATGGCTTAAACTTAGTGGAGCTGATGGCATTAGTTTATTTTGTAACCTACTTTATTCCAGAAATTTACTAAATTATGTACAATAGAACAACAATAAATACATTTTTTTTTTTTTTTGAGACAGAGTCTCACTGTGTTGCCCGGGCTAGAGTGCCG